TTTTTTAAAGATTTATTTATTTGTGCATACAGAACTGGGGTACAAGCCAGAGGCTCAGGGGCAGCAAGAGGCTTCACCAGAGACAGAGTGGGGAGCAGAACAGGCAGATCTATGAAGTACACTGCTGAGGGGAGCAGCGGGCGGGTCAGGAGAGGTCTGCCACGCCATGTGGTCACCTCTGGGGCAGGCGGGAATCGAACTCATGGGGAAGTGGCTTTAGCTTCTCAGTGCTGTGTTTTAACCCTCTGCGCCACCAGGGAGGGCCAAATCTCACTTCTTTATTAATACAATAGAATGGGGGAAACTAGTAGTTCTTAATTCACAGAGTAAATGCAAGAGTTACCATAAAGCTTTGCATGTTTGGCATTTGCTAACTTCTCATAGTTACTACTAGTATTAATTTTGAAAGCAGGTCACAGAAGTGTAATCAGGTGAAAAGAGAGGTTCCCCCATAGGTAGAAGAGGAAGAGAAAGAAACAGAAAGAGCAGACAACAGACATCACCTAGATTATTTTTAGAAAGATATGCATTATTCCCCATGACCAGAACTGCTGATTTTTTAGGGACTTCTCCCTTGCCACTCTGGCAGTGCTAGGCTTGAACTTCATCTGGTATTTCTTGTTTTATTCCACTTCAAGCTGCCTAGGGGGGAAACAGCAGGAGTAAAATTATATAGCACTAGGAGCCAGTGCATCCAGTCCTAAGGCTAAAGGCCAAAGGACATTCATATTTTTGAGCACCAGGGAGCTGGGCACGCAGAAGTAGCAAAAATCCACAGGTGAGACTTCTGGGCTCACTGCATTGTCTGTGGTGACGGGAGCTCTTTTTGCTGGTTGTTCCCCAGCTTTTTATTCTTCGCTGGTGAGCTAATCCTGGGATTTCAGCTGGGATAAGGTTCACCTTTAATAGGTGGTCACCTCAAATTAAGGCTACTTTTTCTTTTAGCCTCTTCTGTAACAAGAGCTAGTCACACGACTAAGTTCTAGCCAACCAGATGAAGGGAAACAAGACTTTCTGGAGTCCTTAAGGAGAGGGGCAGGCTCATCTTTTCCCATTTTCCTCCCTGCTGGCTGGATAAAAGGTGTGGTAGCTAGAATCTGAGTGGTCATCTTGGACCATGAGTTAGAAACTGCTTATTAAGATGACAGTGATGCAAGAAGGAGCCTGGGCTTTGCAGGGAATTGTATGTACAAAAAAGAGATGTATTAATATGTTTCTAAATTTTTTAAGTCACTACTTTTTGGTCATGTATATTGAAAATCCAAGGACTTGATTTAAGGTTAATTTCTGTAAGTCAACCTCATCTGCATAATGGAAAGATTCTGCTAAGTTCTCAGTGCTAAGTGTTGCCGTCAGTTGTCATACATCTGGAAATGGAATCTACGATTCTTGGTGTTCCAGGCTCCAGAGCACAGTAGTGTATGAGGAAAGAGCCTTGGAACTTTCACCAAAACTCATCTTTTTCTGTTGCTAGCTGTTGTCACAAACAAAGCAAACATAAATCAAGGTGTATTTATATGATAGAAGCACTTTTCTGCAAAGCCCCTTTCAAGATCTTTATGATGTCTTCCCTGCCCATTAGGTCTGTAGTGGGGCCCTTAGTTTCTGAGTTCCCTAAATATCCATGGCAGACTTTGCTCTCCAGGTTTGTCTGCTCTGTGTTTTGAATTAGATAGCAACCTCTCAGAGGGCCGGTGTGCAGCTAATGATTCGGCGTAAGAATCAGGATTTGCCAGCCACAGAAGGAGATACATCCAGGGACTTGTTAAAATGCGTGGAAAGCTTTTATCCTGCGAAAAGAGGAGTGTATGAGAAGAGTCAGAAATACATTTGAAACAGACATTCCTAGCTCGTACTAAGTACTTGAGGCCTTCAGACTTCAATATAGGATATTTTTCTTGTACAGAAATCTCTCCTTGCTAACAGGACAAAGAGTATGACTGAAACTGGGCAGGCCAGATGCTAGGATAGAATTATTTTTTGGACCATGAGCCTGATCTCCAGGGAAAGAAGGAACTTGTCAGTTGTATTTTTTGCCTGGACCAGAAGATTAAGCCTGGCAAAGAGATACTTTTTGGGAGACTAGTTCTCTGGAATTTCTACCCTTCTCTGGACTTGGGAGGAGTCAGGAGAAGAAAATGCATCATTTGAATGATGGCCATAGTTACGACAGGTCCCACATGCCAACCAGAAGGAAAAAAATACTTGCTGAGCAAAGTAACTGGAAAGCAGTTACTCATATTTTAAGCTCAGCAACATGGTTGAAATCCAGAATAATGGAGACTTTTGGGCCAGCGACCACATGGAAATAAGCCTTCTGGCTAGAAAGCAGCATGTGGTGTTACGGATGGCAAGGATGCCTATTCCCTGGGTGTTTTGTGCTGCCAGATACCAGGTGTGGGTGGGAGTGGTGGGTACATCTCAACTGTATTTACTTACTCCAACAGATTTCTCAATAATTCCAGCAACGGCAAGTTGACCAGGATGGACTGGGTGTCTGTGGCCAGGTGGTAGGGTCAGGACAGACTCATCAGGTGGCTGAGCCTGAGAGTGACATTTGCATTTGGCCAAGCCCTGCAAGGTGAACACTCAGACAGGCACAGGGACGTTGATGTAAGTGCTTTGGCACAGTACTACTTGTGACAAATGTCACAGTCCAGCTGGACACACTCCAGATCACAAGGGCTGTTTCCAGGAAAGCACCATTCTGGTTTTCTCAATGCTCTCCCCTGACACTCAGTGACACTCAGGGTCTCCTTTCCGTTGCAGGCCACTGAAGTTACTCCCAGTCAGCACAGAGGAGGTCTCACCTGGTGGCATTTGAGGTTGGACAGAGCGGTCATCGCCTCACATGCAGAATTAGGCTCTTGAAGCCTGCACTTGAACGTCAGCTCTCGTTTATGAGCCAAACAAAGCCAGAAGTCACACTCTCATGAACTAGTATTTACTTTCCTTTAAAAATGGATCTTTCTATCACACAGGATTATTCTGAGGATAAATGAGAGGAGGCATTTGTCTTGCCTTTTTCATATACCAGATGGTGACATTTCTAACTTGACCACTCTCAGGGCTTTATATACTCTGTCTCCTTTCATCCCCCAAACAATTCATGAGGCGAATACTATTTGAATTCCCATTTCACAGAAGGGAATACTGGGCTCCAGGTTAAGATCAGTGACATGTGCCATTTTATACCACTAGGTGGCAGACCCAGGATTTGAACCCATCCTGACCCACCAGAGAGCAGGTCTGACCACTGCATGCACCATTTCCTGGTGGGGACAGATACGCAGTTTTCTTGGAGGTGTTCTTGAATTTTGTTTGGAGAAGCATAAGTACTTTGTTACTGCTCCAGCATCTATTCAGGGGTTTTTAATCTGGAGGCACTGGGAAGCAATGAAGCCTTTTAGCAGCGTAGAGGCTGGAAGGGGTGGCAAAGGGGAATGGCCGGGATGCTGAGAGCAGGGATGGAGGGGGAAGTGTGTTCATATCGTTTGGGAGAGAAGCCCTAAGGGAGCAGAGCAACCTGATGTCAGGACCTCTCAGGCTCCGACAGGAAGGGGAGTTAAATGCTGGTGCTCCTTCCAATCTGGTTGGTGCACAGAATCCCTCTCCGTGATGTGTGTGGTCCTTACCAAAGAAATAAGCTCGAAGGGCCTAGTGACACGTAACAAGGGAAACCATGGTTCTCTTGACCTGACTACAGTGGGCATGACTGTGGTTTGCTGCCTTGAGGAGCTGGTGTAATGTGCTGTGACCAGTCCTGAGATGGCCCTCCGGGGGCTATGTGGGCAGAACCCTCTATCTGACTGACCCGTTGTTGGGTTGTCACATCCAAGTGCATTGGGCACCAAGAGAGTCCTCCTTGCCTTCCTCTGATCCGTCTCTGGGGCCTTTGCACGGGGAGGCTGCCCACCCCATCAATGCTTTTTCATCCTCCTCCCCCACCAGGAGACCTGGGCCATCCCAGTGCTCCTCAGCCACAGAGAGGCTGTCCCTAGCCCCTCTCCCTCACTCCTCCAGTTGGAGCAAGGAGCCAGGATGCCTGGGTTCCAATCCTGGGTGCTCCACAGGACCACGGGTGGGCATTACCCTACACCTACAGGGGCCCTCCCCCACAGGCCGTTGCCCAGCAAGCGCTGCACCTCTTCTCCTTGACACTTCCCCCGGGGCCAGTTGCCGAAGAACATGGGGTGCCACCCCTGCAAGCTTCTCTGAAAAAGGTGGATACACCCAGGCCCCACCCCCAAGGTGGTCGCTGTCTACCTGTGTGAATCACTTAGTGACTTCCCCGTTGTTCCTGGTGTCTATGAAGTGGGGAAACCTCCGCGCCCTGGCACCCACGTCTGAAAAGTGAGTGAGGCCAGGTGTGGTTCCTCTGTCTGCCCGGTTCACGGGGCTGCTCTGACAGCTCATGTTCTCCTGAAAACTGCGCCCCGAAGGCAGTGTTATTAGCCAGGTGGGCATTCTGGTAGCTCAGGCTGCTGGCGCGCCCTCCGGCCACCTCGGAGAGGCGGGCAGGGAGAAGGTTCCTCTTTATGCAGTCTCCCCCGGAGCCCACTCACACAGGGCAACAGGGTGTCGCTCCTCCGCAGGGCTGACCACGAGCCGCCCCTCTTTCCTCTCTCCCATTGGCTTTCACCTGCCAGAGGGTCTGTTGCTATGGGCTTCTCGGCCCGTCAATCAGGGCCGCCTCCGCCCCGCCCCTCCCGGGGGTTTATAACGGGAATTCCCATGGCCCGGGCTCTGGCACCCCAACCTGC